TTTTTTTCATATATATATATATATATATATATATATATATATATATATTATAATAAGATTATAATAAAATATCCAAAGGAAACAAGTGTGCCTAATTTTAAGATCATGATGGCATCGACCTTCCTCCAAAATTGACTACTGCACACTACTCTTAGAACCTCTTGAAAATTCCTCCATGATATTTGTTCTTCTTCTAAAAACCACTATATATATATACACATCTACACGTGTGAGTGTATATATATGTTCATAATCACGCGCCAAAAACCGTCGATCTTAGCATCACCGGGAAATGACGTCATCGCCGCTGCCGCCGCCTCACGGGTCGACGGTTTTCTACTGGCATGAGACGGAGTACGACGACCGGAACTTCCAGATCCACGGCAGGACCCTCTTCTACGCCGTCGTCGTCTTCTCCACCGCCCTCCTCCTAGTTTTCCTCTCCCTCTACATCCGTCGGATCTGCCTCCTCCGCCTGCCCCATTCCCACGCGCCACCGCAGCTCCCCCTCACGCGCTTCGTCTCCGATGGTGGTGGAGGGCTAGATCCGGCGGTGATCCGGAGCTTGCCGGTGGTTCTGTGTAGGAGAGAAGCCGGTGCGGCGGCGGGGGCGGAGGCGGCGACGGTGGCTGAGGAGAGTGAGTGTTGCATATGTCTCGGTGGATTCGAGGATGGGGATAAGGTGAAGGTGTTGCCACAGTGTCGACATTGTTATCACTGCGAGTGCGTGGATAGGTGGCTGAGGAGCGAGTCGAGTTGTCCGATATGTCGAGTCTCTGTCCGGGTCGACTCGTCCGTGTCTATTGCCACGTAACGATACACAAAACGACGGCGTCGCGAGTATGACGCTTTTGTTCTGTTCATGCAAAGAGCGTGGTAGTGGAATCTTTGTTCACTTTTTCGCCCCCAAATTTTTATAGAATTCTTCTGTTGTATTTTAGTCCGAGAAGATATTTATTGATACAAGAATGAATGAATGAATGAATGGTTATACGGTTTCATTTTTGTATTTATTCTAGATACTCTGTTTATTATATAAATCCATGGTTGTATATATGGTCGTCATATTTGTCTCTCCACTATGGTAATATTTAGAATTTTAAGTATATATTTATATCCAACCAAATTTGGAATAAAAGTGTAATAGATACGTTTTTTCTAAAATAATCCAAACTAACTTGAAACCAAATTTGAGCTGCAAACCGTAGATAGGCAGGCTTATGGCTCGATTACACAAAAAACCCAATGTAAGGATGAAATACAAACAGTCCAAAAGACATGACTTCAATAGCAGCAGATGGAACCCAAAAAAACAACTGCCATGCAGTTTCTACCCAAAAGAACATTACAAAGTGGAACTTTGAATAACTCACGAGGGAAAAAAAAAAGAGGGATGACATTATTCCCACAACACCTTTCATCCCATCACGGTCCCCCGTAGACACAACACATTACAAACAAAATAAAAGAGTGCAAAAAAAAAAAAAATCACACATACCCATGGACATGGAACGTAGATTTCTGGAGGGGCGTTTCTTTGATAATAATTAATGATAATAAAGAATACAAAATAAAGACTCTCTGAAGGGGTAGATTTCTGATTTGTCTATGAATCGCCGTCGTGTGGAGCTGGTATATATTTTTAGTAGCTTCCCATGGGAGGCATGCCAAATGGTGGCATTGGGGGCATTCCCGTCATTCCACCCATATGCGGTGGCGGAGCGAACCCTCCTCCCATTCCCGGCATTGGCGGGGCTGGTAGTGCCAGTGGCAGTAGTTGGGCGTACATGTTCTGTTTACGTGTATATTTAAAAAAAGAAAACATTAACGTTGGCTTGGACTTTAAAGAGTAATTTTTTTTTTGGGGGGGGGATGGTTTAAAGAAATGAACCTGTTGAGCGATGACATCCTTCTCTTCCTGTTCTTTGGCCTTGACATCGTTTTGCGCCTCTATCTTGTCCTTTATGAGTTCGTCTACTTTTCCCGTGTATTCCCTTATAAACTGCAACGGGAGGTGGCGCATTAGTATCTCTCATTGGATTTGGGAGGATGCGAGTAAAACAAGCATATGATCCTTTTAACCATGTAATGAATATAGTGTAAAAGCACCTGTAGGAGATAGGGGAAGGCGAAGTCGATCATTTTGTTGATCCATGCGAGTTCTAAAGCAACATCTGGTCGGATCAAATCGTAACAGACAAACAGGCACGTCGCAAAGCATTCCTTTTTACCCTGCATTCTCACATTACACACACACACACACAAAAGTTGCTTTGCATCGTTCAAACCAAACCGTTTTTTCCTACAAAGAGAAAGAGCTTGATGGGGTTACCTGTTCGATGAAATAAACCAGCAGCTCTTCCGCTAGTTCACGGTCACCGGATTGTGAAGCTGTTTCCATGCAGTCCTTGTACATGTTGTCTTTCTTCGACAAAGCAATCGACTGCTTCCACCTACCTGCCTTCTTGTAGATATAAGCCGCAACACGTCTCATTTCCAGAAGCTCATGTTTCTCGATCTGTTTCACACCATTCACAAAAATAGGTTATTACGTAACGAGGGAAGATACCAAATGTGTTACAGATTATTAAACTCACCTTCTGGGCAAGGCCAATTTGGTCGAAGCTGTCGTGCAAATCGATAGATTCACGCAACCGATCATAGTCTTCTTCTTCCACGTATATCTCATTCAGGGCTTCATTCACGGCAGATACGTTGTTGCTCTGAACTGCCACCATGTATGGCTTGATAAGACGTAAGTGACCGGCCTGAATACCAAAAAAAAAAACAATTTTCAAAGAGATTGTTAGATTCCTGGATTTCCCACCCTACCTCACAAAGATAATCTGGCACGCTCAGCTTTGGCATGATCCGTGTTACGGACGATCGATGCCTTGACAGACGCTCTAATAATGGGAGGTATGCAAGCCGAGCACCTTTCGCATAATGTCGACGACGCGAGTGTGATCCAATCGAAGAACGAGCACATTGAGCATATCGTTGATGATATCAGGGTGCTCTTGCAAGTAGAAGTGAACGGCCTTGTAGTACAGCTCAACATTTGCGACCTTGACAACGATGTCTTTGAATTGCATGTGGTCCCATGCTTCAGGAGAATGGTTCATGACAGTGGTCGCAGCATTATCGAACTCGTCATATTGAATATACAGATAGGTGAGTTCCATCCAGTGCTGTTGCTCATCACAGGCTCGTATAAGCTTGGGGATATTGAGGCGAGTTGAGAACAACTTGATGTGTTCCATGAGTTTCTCGGGACGATATCTAGCATACAATACACCCAATTCGGTGAAGATGCCCATGTGTGCGCGTTCAAGCCCTAGTCCACTCTCCATAAGTGAGATTAATTCATTGAAGCATCCCCTGTTCTGGTAGTACTCACTCACTTCTTCCAGGTCATCAACCTATTAAAGCACAATAGAACATCGGTGAAATTCATAGTAAAACTAAATAGTGGCATCAACCTTAATTCGAGTGAAGCTAGATAGGGTATTTATTTTACCTGTATGATAATGTTGAGACCACAGATCTGAGCCAAACGGAATTCCTCTGCATCAACACAAGCAAAGCAGACTTCCTTCCATGTCTTTGCGCTGTTTGCTTTCCTTGCAGCGTCAACAGCGCTCTGGAACTGTTGCAACCTCACGAGTGTGACTGCTAACTTGGCCCAGTTCGATATAAACGCGTAGATTATTTTTGCAGCCTCATATAGAGCTTCGTCAAACAAGCGGTCACCGACATTTTGTAGATTAGCAACATTTGGCATCAGAATGAATTCTTCGATCTCACCCAATCTATCAATCTTTGCGTATGCATAGATGAGCTCACTGTCAACCTTGGGTTCTTTCACCTTTTGTCTCACCATCAGAAGGTATCTAACCAAGTCGGGATAGACATTAGCATCCTCGGAGGCACGGATTACTTCCAGGAATTGAGTGGTGTCATCGGCCCGGATGAAAGACTCGATGGCATCGCTGACTAGTCCTTCCCGGAGTTGAGCTTTTGCAACTTGACTCCAAACGGCATCTTCCTCAACCCGGAAAGCAAACTCAACGGCACGTTCAATGCTTCTGATGTTGTCCAGCAACACATTGACGGCCTGAACGTTTAAGTTAAACTTCTTGAAAATAGCAAATGCTTCCTCATACAATTGGGCTTCAACGGCCACTTCTCCAACAGCTGGTCCATCAAAGTTATCCAGCCTATTAATGTAATCCATAACTCTTGATGGATCCGCTTTAATAGCTGTCAGTATAAGCAGGTTCTGCAGATTGAAGTTTCCACTGAATGCCGATTTTTGAAGCACAATCTTCTCAAGAAGCTCAATAAGCTCATGGGGCAGATCGGCTGTCATGAACGCTTTAACAGCTGCAGAAACTTGTTCTGGGCTCTTGCTTTCAGGTAAAGCAGTAGAAACAACTTGGTCAATAAGCTGTCTTCTATAAGCATTCTCTGGGTCAAGAACCTTCTCCCAAAGCTCAGCATCCATCCTCTCCACTACATACCTGCAATTGGAATTATTGTGTATGAGCATGCCACAGATAGTAACTACCATTTGTATATTAAAAATTCTGGTATGCAACGACCACATACCTGGCTTGCAGTTTGAACAAAGAGTTCTTGTTGGTGACGTTGATGAGTTCATCATCACATTGTCCTCTTCTGTACGCAACAACTGCCAGGGTAGGATCACGTTTCTCGCAGTACTTACCCACAACCCGAGAGTCATAGTAAGGGTTGGTTGTCAGGAAATGCTCTGGGTTGTTATTGCTGTCGATGATGATTTTACCCAATGCATTATGGACATGCACATCTTGGCTTCCCTCACTAACTAGATGCTCCAAGAACTGAGTGAGGAGACGAAGTCGATTTCTGAGAATTAAAAAAAAATTAGACTCAGGGACAAAGGACAATAGTTTAAGAAGAAATGTAAATAGACAGGAAGTAGAACGACCAAAAGGATTCACCTCTTCTCGCACTCCTCCACAAGGGGTTCAACAGGAAGCAATGAACGAACAGAGAGAATGAGACCTTTGATAAAATCTTCAGGGCATTCGTCATCAAGCAGCTGTCCCACGACTAAGGGAGCATTCCCAGGGTTCACCTTCAAACACAGGCACATATATAATCATCTATAGAGAAAAAAAAAGAAATTTTCATACTTCTACAACAGGTTTCATGAAACTCCATACCTTCTGGACGTAACCTTCAATGTAACGAAGCATGTTGTTCGTGTAGAGGTAATGAGTGAGATCCGGAACGAAGCCAAAACGATCACAGACATTAATCAAGGGTCGGGCATCGGGAAGCTTAGCTTCCATCAAAAAATTTTTGGTCTTTTCAGGGTCATAAAAGTTAGACTCTCTAGTCACACGCTCAACCTCCTTTATTTGCCCAGTTTTTGCAGCAGCTTCAATGTACTTGAAGTGAATATCAGGATCCTCACTATCACATAGATGGGAAAAATTACCATCATCAGCATACAACACATGAATCGTGCTACCTTACAGAACAAAAGCATATTCCCAAATCAATCACCTCATACTCAGATATGAACCCAGGAAAAAGTACAATCCTTCATATGACTTAAATTGCTCAAAGAGTTTGATGCATCCATCAACACCAAGTTGCTCACAATACTCCTTGCAGGTCTGCAAAAATATGGACAAGTCAGTGTGAGGTAAAGAAATCAAAGCCCTTACAGTGACATCTTACAACACATACCTGGACAATTATCTGAAGGTTGCCTCTAAGATTGACCAGCAGAAGATCCTTCATGCATTCCAGGGCCCACTCACGAGAAAGAGTACCAAAAAACTCGACAAGAGCCTGCATTTTGAGCATAGGGATGATAAGCAACTCCACGTTTCAGCAACTGAAATTATTTACGAGAGACAATTACCTGAGGCTCAATAGCATGTGTGTTCACAATTACACGCTTAATATCAGGCAATTCTGAGTAATGCTGCACAAAAGGAAACAGAAGATTAGTTATGTGGAAAGACTAGATACATTTGGGGTAATAAAACAAAAGTAGACATTAAATGTACACCTTTAACGCTTGGATATAAAGCCCAGCCTTTTCACAAAGCTGAGCAATACGAGGACGATCATAGTGGCTGAACATCCCGTTGGCTAAAATTGCATCAGCCACATTAGGAAAGGTTACCAAGTTGATCTCTAGCACCTGAATTGGCAATGAATCTAAAATCTCAGAGAAAAGACGGGTGAATACAGAGAACACAAAGATAAAACCAAGCAACTCTTCTCAACCTTAGTTTGCAGAAAAGCATGCTCAGGTAAATTTGGCTTCAACACATCCAGAAGAAAAGCTGTTGCTTCACGGATCAAATTTCTCTGAGAATACACAAATAAAATAAATTAGCACAAGATGATTCGATGATTCTCATGTCCTGCCAACATTCAATGTACAAGCCGGTGTAAACACAGGGATCAAAATTTCACGCCCACCTGAAGAAAAAGGTCAGTGATGGTGTTGTAATCAACTGGGGAACCTCCTTCCATTTGAGACATCATCAGCGCGAAATTTACAGCTCCCTGCAATTAAAAATTCAAAAGACTGTTAATCTTTTTCAGTGGAAAAGATTCATTTGCGTCAGAAATTAAACATCAGGGCCAAAATTATTTCACGAGAGATTAATGCATGGCTCATGTGTGCTCCTCAGCAAATACCCAGTAAAGCACGACTTGCATGATTTTAATAGATCGCAGATCTCCAAAGAATAATAAACTAACCTGAGGATCTGTGCGAAGTATGGTTTGCAGAAGAAACAGATAATCAGGTGTGTACCCAACCTAAATCACAATATCAAACAATGGTACCTTGATGAGTACAATTGATGAACTCTAGGAAATTGCCATCAGAAAACCATAACAGGGGAAGGCAAAATTAGGTCATGTCGTTTACCTGCTTCGAGTATATCAGTATTTTGTCAAACTCCCTTCGCTCAGCAAAAGCTGCAACAACTTTTGGGGTAGCTCTAGCTTTGATGTATATTTTCAGAGCAAGATCATTATCCACAGTCTGGAGCAGTAAAGGTTGCCATGAATGAATCTATATAACAGATATCAAAACATATTACAAGGAAATAGTCAATTCAAACATTACTTTGACAAGGTCACCAAGTTCCTCGCTGCATTCTAACTTATCCTCAGCCAACCAGTTCTCCAAAAGGTTCTTCTTGTTTTGATTCACCACAAGCCGAGACAATTCCAATGACTCAAATGCATTGAGCTTTCCTCTGGTCAAAAGAGTCCCAAAATATTGCAACAGCGGAGGAGTTTGTCCAGCTTGGACAGGAACACTCTGCAAAATTATTTAGTCAAATCGTAATTTGATATTGGAAGTATCTTCATTTAGAAGAAAAAAATCAGTAGCCGACTTATCTGTATGACTATGCAATAAAGAGAATACCTGGAATTTGGCAACTGTATCAGGTGTCCTGAGAATCCCCTGAGGAGATTCAGCAGCAAGCTCAGCAGCCTCCTTGTACTTTGTTTGAGCAAAAAGCTCCTGGAAACGCTGGACAACCTGCAAGGCCAAATTGAATTTGAGGAACTTTACAGTAATATACAACTCTTCTTTTTCTCCAACATGAACTTGACAACTTTAGTTATCCCAATAAGAAAAAAATATCTATGCAATTAAAAAAGAGATAAACACTAGTTATTTGGCTTGTGTTAGACACTTTAAGTGAGATTCGTCCAGGATGCACATATCACGTACTAAATTCTCTGCACCAGGCAGGTTTCCTCTTTTAGCAAGATTGACAGCAAGCTCCAGGTTGTTCAACTGTCAATGCAAAGGCAGAGAGTTCTTAGCATGGCATTCTGAGACAGCCGGTAATACCAGATGATACAGAATAAAAGTTTGAACATACTTGACCGCTTATGAAAGGAATTATAGTAGCATCATTTACAGTAGCCAAAAGAACTTGTCCTCGCCTATTAATGGCATAGAAACCCCCAAGTGAGGAAGCTTCTGCTGTCAAGAAAATTGGGTCTGGACTTATCCGATTTCTGTATACAGCAGCAGCAGACTCTAGATCATATACAAACAACAGCCCAAGCTTGGTAATGACGTATATCAAACTGTATCTGTGAGAGATCTGCCAGAAAAAGTCTCTGTCATGAAATTTTCAGCAGGGAGTTACTAAAGGTAATTGAAGTTCCAATGCAACAACAAACCTGCATGGCTACAGGAAAATCATCAGCAAAGTCCGGGGGGAAAAAGAGATCTGCCTGCTTTTTTGTGAATGATGGTTTTCCTACAAGGATCAGACATCAGATGAGTACCTACAAGAATTGTAATGAAAAATTTTGGCATCAAATGCAGTAGAATGTGAAACTGCAACTTCATGTCCTACTTAGCTATGAGCTCAAATATAGAGATCTCAATGCCCATGAAATTAAATATAGCTTGCTGGCTAAAGCTGACAGAAATACGACTGAAGCAAAAGCAGCCAGAAAGACAACAACCTGGTTGGGCACCAAGCTCAATGACATGCAACTTTGATATGATCTGTCCAGCATTAAAAGTCTTGGTTGCGAAGGATATAAGAGTAGAAGGATTCTCATTTCCAAGGACCTGGTCAAGAGTAACACATTGACAGATCATACTGTAGATCATGATGAAAATGAAACCCATAAAATGTCTGCACTAATGGACTGCAGCGATGTTTACCTTAAACTGAGCAAACGATGCAGCATGTGCTTCGAGGGCCTGACTCCGCTGCTGATCAACGGAGAAAAGCTGCATGTTCCCCTTTACCAATTGTGGCCTCTATAGAAGACAATAAGCAACACTGATTGAATCAACAACATGCAACCTAATTGCACCTAAGGATATAACCTAGTGAAACATTAAACTAGCAGGATAGGAAAATAAACAATACCTCAGGAGAGCCAGGAGCAATTCCAATCAAAACCAACCACTTCTCATTAGGAGAGATTTTATAGTTAATAATCTGATTATTTGACAAATTGGCAGTCCGGTCAAACATCTTCACTGGCACAGAGTCGCCTGTAAAGTACACAGCAAAATCAGAATCGTAAAAAATGATGTGAAGAGTGATTGTATTAAGTCGAACGAAGACACCAGACCTTCAATTGACCAATGATACACGGAAGTTTGTGTGACCAGCCCCAACATTTTTGGGGTAATCCACTTCCAAAAGACAACCTATAAATGAACATGGGAGGTAAGTAACCTAAAAATAAAATTCAGGAGCTAATCAAACTCACCTCGAAAGCTAATATATAATGAACAACATGAAAAGCGACAAGGATGGATAATGTTTGATCAGCATTTACCGATTCAGGCATCTGATGTGATTTCAATTTTGCTTTGGCCTCAATGTTAAAGATCTGTAGATGATCTTGACTGGTTCCCGGAAGTTGAGCTTTGTACAAATATATAAAGAAAAAAGTGAGCATTGGGAGTAAAGAATAAAAAAGTAATAACCAAAAATGACATCATTCAGGGAACATCTAATACAAACTGGAATTACTATTTGATCTACACCAGGTTGAGAGAGAACCTAAAGCGAGAAAACATGTTGGATTAAAAAATGTATAGGATTAAACACTAGTTTCCTTTTGCATGACAAGTTTATGATGCATATTATCTTATTACAGATCACATATCAGCAGAGAACTGAAACATGAGCTACAAGTTCATTTAAGGTTTTTATGCTCATTTACCACAATAGATATATCAAGGTATTACAACATGTGCAGGTACTGTAAAAAAAATAAGGCCAACGCATTTAAACTACATATCAAGTGTTTTATCCATCCTGAAGAACAGACTGAAAGTTAAGGCCATGCGAGGTCAAATCATCTCTATAAAAAATCAACAGCATATGTTGGGAGTATGTCAAGAAAAAGAGAAAATCTCGGCCAACACAACAAAATTACAGATATCAATAATAGGCTTGTAAACAACTAGTAAAGAACACAATTCTAAAAGTAAGAAGTGACCAGCATCACAAGAACAAAGAGTTCTTGAAATAGAAACCAAAACATTTCAATACCTTTCAAGGCAAGGATTCTTGAGTTTGGGTTCATGAGCGCAGAATCTGCAGTGATAGGCCTCCTCAGAGGCTGCATCGGCATATTCATATCTATAATTACAACACTGTTCTGAGGCGCCGTCTCTCTTACACATATATACTTGTCAGATTCCATAGTAACGTTTGTAAACGTGATGAATTGTTGATTGATCCCAATGCTCGGAAGCTGCAAAAAAATATAAACCACCATGTCCCACAATTCATTTACTTAGTGACGAGATCGCTGAATACCGAATCAAAAAATTACACTTCAAAATAATTTCAAGCTAAGATACAATACATTCACGCAAGAGACAGATCTGAGGACACGATGAGAAATCAGATCGAAGACATGCATAACACAAACTAGTCATTTGGAAAAAGAATTGACGGAACCGGAGAGATCAAGCAGAATTCCGAACAGTAAGAAACCAAAAAAGGAACCGAACAAATCAAACAACTGTACCGGAGCCCGACAAAATCATCAGAAATCGCACCAGTGGAAGTTCCAAACACCATTACGAACAAAATTAAGCTCGATTCCGGGAGATACACATACATCGACACGGAAATGGAGGAAGGATGAAGGAGAACTAACCGTTAGGACCTCCTTCATGGTGATGGGAGCGTTCGCAGCCGCCATGTTGACCTCGGATCGACGGCGCGTGAATCAGCGTAACGGAGAGGGAATCAGATCCACGGCCGAGAGAGAGGAGCAAGGTGAGGAGACACTGCGGAAGCTCCGAAAATCGCAGCGAGATCTGAGGGCAGAGCAGAGAAGAAGAAGAAGAAGAAGAAGAAGAGAAAGGTAGAGAGAGAGAGAGATTCTCTTTTTTGCGAAAGAGAAACGACGAACAGCGATCTAATCTGAGGATGCTGCTACTTCCTTGGGAATATATGGGGAAAAAGTGGGGAAAATATAAACGAAAAGAGACGACTTGTTTACGAGTGCCTGAGCTGTAACTGAGTTGTAGGGGTGGCAAAATTACCAGCCGGTTATGTATGGTATCCGCTTCCATGATAGATTCAGAATTGGGTTTTTGAAAAATTAGGATTCGAATCTTTGAATCTAACGTTCGATTTGTTTTGCTTGGCAGTTTCTCAAAGACATGTAGAAAATATGGTTTTGTTAATAGGTTAGTAACAATGATAAACCTCTCCATTGAAATCCATATGCAATAAATGAAGTCAGTCCTCTTTGGGTATCCTAATATCTCTTAGTATGTCAAACCAAATATATATATATATATATATCTTAGTATGTATTTTCCCGTCGTTACGAATTTGGATTCATTCGTAGATTGGATTTGGCAATTTTAACAGACGCTAAATAACATTACATAATTACAAAAATATTTATATTGTTTAAATAAAAAGTTAATTAAAAATTACAAACCAGTATTTTTTTAAATAAAAATTGGATTCGGATATGCAAATGAGAATTTTTTTTTTTTTGGTAATTGGGTATCTTGTACCGAAGCTAGACTAATTCCATGTGAATAACTCCTCTCTAAACTGAGATTCGAACTCGCGTCCCGTTTCACCGGTTGAGCTAACCAGGTTGGATCCGAACGATAATTCTTAACTGAAACTTATCCATGTTCGATGGTTCGTTTCTTTCTTGTTTCCAATTCCAAAGAGTCAAATGAATATTTGGTATTCCCACCTCAGTCCAAGTACTCGCAAAAATCAGCAAGTGTATCCATCAAAAGATGCATACCTGTTTTTTTTTTTTGGGCAGACCCGAACAGTATATATATATAACGTTTCGGATCAAGAAATCGACGTTTTTCCGGTGATGGGAATGTTTCTTCGTGGGTTCAGGCATTCTGACACGATCCACTACGCTATGCATTTCTGGATCATCGGAGTTCGATTCCACAAGAAATGGTGCCCGGTAAAATTCCACCGCCGCGTCGTAATCCTATATATATACATGCATGTCATAACCACACGCAAACCCGAAAAGCAGATTCTGAATCTGAGCTATGAAAACCAGATTCATTCTTGAGATATATAGTTTCTTTTGGATGATCCTTGCCGGTGTTTCGGAACATATGAAGATCAGTTTATGAAAACATGGGTTTTGCTTCTAAGAACAAATTAAGGGCATTAATGGAGAAGAAGAGTGCCTTAAGGTGGAAACTGGAGAGAGAACCAGAGCAGGTCAAAAGCTCTTTCTGTGAGAAGAGACAACAGATTGAACCAATACAGACCATTTTCTGTTCAACGAGACAAAAACCCTAGTTTATAGAAATATAATACGGCATCTTTCATCAAGTGGGTCTTTACCCTCCTCTCTATTTGGATCCAAGATTCTCTCCTTCGATCCATTTAGATTCAAGATTCTCCTTTTCCGTGCATTTGGATCCGATGTTCTCCCTATTCTTCCGTTCATTTGGACCCAAGGTTCTCTTCTTCCTCCATGTACGAGGTAAACACCCATTAACGAACATTATTATTTTAACTGAATATCCGTGATAGAAAAACATGAAAACCCATAATAAAAAATATTGTTTTTTTAACGATTCTATGTAGTTTAAACTATGCGTGGAGGGAATGTGTGGACATGGTGCATCGCATGATACCATTAGTAATAGAGAGAAGTTGTTACCATTTTCACGCGACACGTTGGCATCCGTGGATTTGGTGGGCGTTGTCCTTTCTTTTTTCGTCCTTTTAGAATTTCTTAACTAATGTTAGATTTACTTAATCCTCTTAACTTAAGAAAAAACTATCAAATTCACCACTTACCAAAATTAAATTCAATATTTAAAATTCTTTATTAAAATCCGTACATCGTGAAAATTCAACCAAAAAAAAAAAAAATGGATATTTACTTTTTATTCAACTAACCTAATATTGGATCAAAATGGGTTTTTTGTTGTGTTTCGCTTTATAATACTTTCGACTATTGCGTACTACAAACTTTATTAAAAAAAACACAATCCAATAAAAAAACAAAACAAAATAACAAAAAAAATAATAGAAAGAACATTATTCTTGGACTAATAATTCAAATTTAGGCCTTGTTTTCTTAGACAATTTCTCGGACACGAGTTCAAATCTCACGTCTTCCTCACATCTCTCGTCTTTTGAAATCAAACGCTCACATTCTGCGCATATTCCGACGAACATCTCCAACGCGATCCGTCCACCTCCTCGCCGACCGATGCATTTGTCGGAATCGAATTGTCTCGTCTGAAACGGGTCGTCCATCGCCGGAGGTGCAGAAAGATCAGCTCATCTCCCCTTTGAATCGATTCCATGTTCGCCAGAAAATTTCTACAGAAATCCTCCGCCGATCACAATTCTCCCACGTCTCCTCGGCCCCAGGTACTTCGTTTCCTTTCCTTTCTTCTACCATCAGATTTTTATTTCTTCTTCCGTGAGGAGTTTCCATGAATCAATCTTCCATTTCTTTACCGTCCTAAACGATTCGTCCCCGGATTTCAGCCAATATCGGAGCATAGGCTTTCTAAAACTTCTTCGGAAGTTGATGCGCTTGCAGGGAGATCTTCATGTAAGAGTTGCATTAGACAAAATCAAGAACTTCGTGTAAGAGGCATTAGACAAAATCAATGTCTTGGGACCTTGTTCTAGTTTGATGAAAAGATGACTACTTTAGGACTGAAACCGTATTTTACTTCATCATATGCATAGACTATTTCGGGCTATTCCTCTATGCCATGATTAAACAGCCTTGGAACCTTTATCTTCAACCATTGCGTTATTTCTCTTCTGTGACGACTCTGAATCTTCACTAAATATAGGCAAGAAAGCTCTTTTCTTTTTTCTTCTGGCTCTAGATGTTCATAAACCATATGGTCTTTCACAGGGATATTTGGCAACATCAGATTTGGATCCTCATACTGTCATCCACTATGGTATACCATCAACAGCATCTGTTCTTGCTTTTGACCCAGTTCAGAGCCTCTTGGCTATAGGCACATTGTAAGTTCTTTTTGTTGTCTGGCCATTGAAAACGAATGGAGGATATGTATTCATTAAGTTCTGTGGTTGAGTAGCCAAAGCTAGTACACTGTAAGTAATTATGGTGTTTCCTATAGGAGATTGAGGGTCGTTTTGAACAATCGAGATTCTTTATTCCTTTCAACTGCTAGCATACCTATGATGGACATGAGAAACCATATCACCTTCTCATGATCTCTACCTAATTGAAAATGTAGAACTTAATTTTGAATTTTCACCTGCTACAGAGATGGAAGGATAAAAGTGATTGGAGGAGATAACATTGAAGCAATTCTTGCGTCGCCCAAACAACTACCTTTCAAAAACTTGGAGGTTTGTAAAGTTCTACACACCTCTTGATTTGTTCAGGGATTATGTAAACATCCTAATGGTGCCTTATAATAGATTTCATTTGATTTCTTTCCATTCGTCAATGTGTTTCCAGCTTAATTTTCTGATTTCCACTTTGTTTCTTTTTTTGTAAGAAGTTGGGTGGATGCATGTTTTACCACTAAATAAGCTAGTTTTCATATTTAAATATGGTTTGCATGTTGATGATATTTTGGGTGCTGCAGTAGTTAGAAATGATTTCTGATCCATTCCTTTCTGGAGAAATATGATTGTTCTTTGATAAAATATATTAAAACCTTCTATTTGATTATCTAAGTTGACTAACATCTCTACTTGAATTATTTTCCATATTTTTTACAGTTCATACAAAACCAAGGGTTTCTGGTTAGCATCTCAAGTGAAAATGAGATTCAGGTATTAATTGAACGTCATGTTTGAATTTTTAACATTGCAGCTTATGCATTTACTTCTCTTGATTGATCTTTCTATTTTCTGATAATCCATTTTGCTTTGTTATTGTTCAATGCCATACTTTGTAGGTTACATTATCAGTTTTTTTGTTATGTATTAGGTCTGGGACTTGGATCTTAGGCAGACAGCTTCGAGCTTTCAATGGGAATCCAACATTACGGCTTTTTCAATTCTTCAGGGCACCGGTTACATGTATTGAGCTTATTAAAACGTATTGTAGTTTACTTCTCGCTATGGCTTCATTGACGCTTTTTAATCTCTCTCTTTCAGGCACATTGGTGATGAATATGGTATGGTGTCTGTCATAAAGTACAATGCTGAAGAAGGGAAACTAGTGCAGCTTCCTTATTACGTTCCCACTGATGCTTTAGCTGGTATTTTTTTTTGCTTTCCATGTTATCTCCATATGAGTTTAGAAACTTTCATGAAATTTCCAAGTTTTAATTTGCTTAATTTCAATAAGAACTTTAGTCTCCATCCACATTTTTGCTTAGGTTTAGATCATTTCTACATGCTGAAGTTAACAAAGATGCTTCCTTTATCAGTTCATGATCCTATATTTTGTCTGTTTATTGGTTAAATGTGTTCTTTGCTTATTCTATCCTTTTCGTTCTCTCTTTTGCAGAAGCAGCAGGGCTTTCGTCGCCTATTGAACATCCCATTGTCGGACTTCTCTCCCAACCTTGTTCCAAAGGAAATAGGTGTGGCAAGTGTTTTCTGGCTTGTGGATGGAAATCATTGTGAAATAAATTTTGTTAATCTAATTTCATGATCTATCATTAATTCGACCAAAGTCTTCTCGTTCTTCAATAAGTAAAGGTTTGTCAAAGAACATTGCCCTTTTGTGCCTCTAAAATTGATCTGTCACTGTTCGTCTTAGTAGTTGGTGGTTAACACAAACTTTTGATGTTTATCAAGATAAGCTGCTTTTTCCTGCTTCACTTCTGACTGTTGCCTCTGTTTTTTTAATAAATATCTTGCCCCCACATCCACCATTGCCAATTCTGAAATTAGAGTATGTGCATCCTAAAATATCATAGCTCAACGGGATGTGAGCAATTCCTGATCTTAATCTCTGCCATTAATGAGAAACGTATTGGTCCCGGTTTTTGTTAAATCTGTGATACTAGTCCTGTAGATAGACAAATGTCTTCTTTTTTATTTCAGTGTTTCTGTAGCCTTGTCCCTTTTGTTTATTTCCTATTGGCATATGTATTCCATTCTTTATCAGTTCGTTTAATAAATTTGAAGGATGCTTCCTGCTGCAGATTGTTGATTGCATTTTCAACTGGGTTACTTTTTCTCTGGGATGCCTCAGAAGATCATGTCGTGTTCGTTCGAGGAAACAAAGATTTACCTTTGGAGGGTAAAACAGTAGCAAATTCTCCAGAAGCTACACACACTGAGCTTTCTGATCTTGAATTGGAGGGGAAAGAGATAAGTTCTCTTTGTTGGGCGTCGGATGATGGTTCAGTTCTTGCTGTTGGTTATGTGGATGGAGATATATTATTTTGGAACTTCTCTGATGGAAATGTTAGAAAGTCATCTAATCATGTCGTTAAGCTTCAATTGTCGTCGGCTGAGAAAAGACTTCCTGTCATTGTTATGCATTGGTGTTTGGATGTATCTCGCAGAGATGGTGGAAAGCTCTTCATTTATGGTGGTGACGTTATTGGTTCTGAAGAAGTTCTTACGGTGAGAATTCAACTGAAGTCAGCACTTTCTAGTAGTCTGGTTGTTCCAAAGCCAATTGCAAAATGAAGTTGTTGCCAATATTTGGATACTTTGGCATCCAAGTGAAGGAATTTTAAAAATTTTCTAACAATGTTGCATTTGTGTAGCAGTTGATACACAATAATGGAATTTCCACTATCCATCCACAAATACATGTGCTGATATGGGGTCTTGTTACTGATCACTCTGTGCAGATGTTGAGCCTTGATTGGTCTTCTGGTATGGGAAGTATGAAATGTGTCGGCCGCGTTGACCTCACCCTAAATGGTTCATTTGCTGATATGGTCTTGTCATCGATTGCCAGTTCAAGGAGCAGTGGAATGTTTCTGTTTCTATTGACAAATCCAGGACAATTACATGCATATGATGACACCCACCTGGCTTCCCTGATGTCTCAGAAAGATGAGCAAGTTTCTGTTTCTCCCCTGCCATATCCTATGGTTGTACCAACAACGGATCCATATATGACAGTCACAGTACTTGCTCCGCTAAACGGAGATGATAAATCCTCAAGGACATTTTCCGAGGTAGTCTGCCCGTGACTCAAGTTAGAACAGTCTCTGGATTGTGATACCGGTATGAGGCTATTAATCTACTTCTTCTTTCCTGATTAGATAGTTCTAGCAGCAAAAGCTCGAACACCGTGCTCTCCATTAAGAGCAAATGCAAATGCAAAATGGCCTCTGACTGGTGGTGTTCCAAATCAATCTGAAGATTACAAGCTTGAGAGACTGTACATAGCAGGATATCAAGATGGGTCGGTGCGAATATGGGACGCGTCTTTCCCAATTCTGTACCTTCTTTATACCTTAGAGTCCAAGGCATGGATTCGGAACTTCTGATCTTTGTGACCTTTACCTTAAGAAGTTTAATTTATAATCTTGTTGGTCTTTCGGTGAGAAATTGAAATTAGTTTTTAATCCTTCACCCAATGACCAGGTAAATGGTGTTGATTTAACTGGGGCAGACGCATCAGTATCTGCACTTGACTTCTGCTCTAAGACTTTGTGTTTAGCTGTTGGCAAAGAATGTGGTATGGTAAGACGGCCTGTTTCTGTTAATACCTTCTCATGTGTCGCTTTCATTCACTGTCCAGTTGATTCTATCAATTTTCTTTCTGGATATTTAGGTCCGTATATGCAAGCTGGTTGGTCATAAGAGTGAAACAAGTTTTACGATTGTTACCATCCATGATAAGCAAGGTTTGATCACCTTATGATGCCTAAGCATCTTTTTTTTATCTTTCTCTTTTTTGTAGTGTCTGTAGGGTTTTTTTTATGCTTTACAACTGACCCAGATGGGTTCTGATTCTGACACTGGAGAGATTGGCCAAAAGAAAAAAATTCTTAATGGTCCGTTGAGGACATTTTCAGTTTCTATTTCTGTTTTCGTTTCATGCTATCTCTTCAAATTCTGCAGTTCACACTTTGCAACAAGACGATGGACCTCGGTGGTATGCTGCATTTTCCTTCCTGAGTTCTCCTGTTTGCGAATTGCGATTTGTGCAGTCTGCAAGAAGGCTTGCTGTAGGATTCAAATGTGGCAGGGTAGGCATTCACTTCCAGTTTCTAAATTTTGTCATATGGCCACTCTCCTGGAAAGTACAGAAATCAGAATATCAGTGACGAGTATCGACTATTTGTGCTTTTCAATCCATATTTCAGGTTGGAATGCTCGACATTGCTGCATCATCAGTATTATTTCTTTCAAACAGCATATCTGATCAAAGTTCCCCAATCACGTCGCTCTCGGTGAAGTCATTTCCAGAATCAACTGAAAAAATAACTGGTCCAAATGAATCAAATGATGACTCCAAAAATCCAGAGGTTCTTGAAGAGTTGATCTTGTATGCAATGACAAAGGATACAGAGGTTGTTCTTTTAGATGGTAACTCAGGGGATATTCGTGCCTCGTTCCCAAGACTTCTGAAGAACCCAACTGCCATCTCTATGCACACTATAGGTAAGTTTTCTCTGTTAAAGATTAAAAAAAATGTTTCTGGTACATCCATTCTCCATGAACCTCTTATCATGCAGAGGACTTCAGTGAAAACTCCAAAATGCCCAATGAGAAACCTGCCCAAGTGTCCCCCGGGAAGGGGGAAGCTGTGGACAAAACTCATTTTACTAATGCTAACAGTGTGAACCCTCCACCAAAAGGTGAACACAATGCTGCCAGTAAGATCAAACCTGTTGGTCAAATATTAGCAAGTTCACAATTTCTGATCTGTTGTGAGGATGCACTACGCTTGTGTTCTTTGAAGTCTCTGTCTCAGGTATATTAGCTGATCTTTCTTTGTTTATGGTTCCTGTAATATCTTGCTTCCTTTGTCTGATGAGAAGAACATGCATTTCAACACCTAGGAATGTCTTGATTGCACTAGAGAAGTGAATCTTTCAAGGCCATGTTGCTGGATGGGAACCCTTAAAAAAGGCGGCAAAGAATGTGGGGTGCTTCTGCTTTACCGAACAGGACATATTGAAATAAGGTAATGTTCTGGTAGCATTTCATGGTATCCATGTATCATCCTGAATACAACACAGCTATGAAACACATTCTGATAACATGCTTTTACAAGCTCCAGAAGATACTCCGGAAATAGTATGCATACACATATTGGTAACTGGGAATTTGAAATGGTTTCCTTCCGTGGACAGATCTTTCCCAGATCTTGAAGTTGTGGGAGACAGCGCTCTGATGTCACTTCTTAGGTGGAACTTCAAGACTAACATGGAGAAGACAGTATGTTCTGATGATAGGGGGCATGTTGTCCTGGTGAGGCTTATCTTTATTTTGCCCTAAAGGGCCACTGCTTTTATCTTTCACCTTCAACACAAATTAGCAAGCAAATAAACTACTAATACAACCTTATGATGTTTATTAAGTTCATAAAACTTGTTGCCTCTTCTATTTATGATTGACATGCATCTAGGATGTCATGGCCGTGTATCATATATTGCCACCTAAACTAATTACTGGTAAAACCCGGATCTATCTACAGGTAAATGGGTGTGAAGTCGCTATCCTGTCATATCTGGCCCATGAAAATGGCTTCAGGTTATTGCTTACTGTCTTCTCTTCTGTATTTCGTTTTCAAGTGACTACAAACTCGAAGAATTCACTAATACTAGTTCTATTTATCTTAGGATTCCGGAGACTTTACCTTCTCTTCACGACAAAGTTCTTGCGGCTGCTGCTGATGCCACCTTAAGTCAATTCCCGACGCACAAGAAAAACCAGGTTGGTTCTGCTTTCAAGCTGTCAACTCATTTTCATGGTTTTAAAATTCTGCTAAGAAAAATCTGTTGCCACAGGAAGGCGGTGCTAGATTCCTCGGTGGCATTATTAAGGGTTTCAGATCAAGCAACGAACAGAAGAAGGTGGACCGAGCACAAGACTTTTCACACTTGGTGGACATCTTCTCTAACCCGCCATATTTAAAGCCGTCAGCTGCCAATGTAGACGATGAAAAGATCATTGAGCTGAACATAGGTTTGTAACTTCCTTAGTTATTCCTTTCCTGTTATCCCCCGTTCTTGAATTTCACCTGAATGTATTCTGATACCTTTAGATGACATCGAGATTGATGAACCTGTGACTGTGTTGCCGGCATCCAGGACAAACAAAAACGAAAAGAAAGGTGACGAGATCTAATCTCCTTGTGTCCTGATTTCGGATGTCTCGATCATTATGTCTTAAGGTTGTTTGGCAGATAAAAGAACGGAGAAGGAGAGATTGTTCGAAGGAGCTTCAAGCGATGCACAACCAAGAACGAGGACAGTGGATGAAATTAAGGCCAAATACAGAAAAGCCGGGGTAAGTTAAATACAAACTCTCCATCTAAAGCAAAGCCGTTAGTGTTTACTGCCTCAAGGTATGTACGTATGTTTTGTCTCTGACATATGGTAAAAGCAATTTCCAGGAAACCTCTGCCATAGCTTCACAAGCAAGAGACAAGCTTCTGGAACGGCAAGAAAAACTCGAGGTCAGCGTATAAAAATCGGAAAAATACCCCGAATCAGACAACATGTTACTCTTTCTAAGATGTAAGGATTTGATCCGAAACTTTCAAAAATGTGTGTGTTTGTTTTTTCCTCGCGACAGAGAATCAGCGAGAGAACAGCAGAGCTACAGAGCGGGGCAGAGAACTTTGCGTCGATGGCTCAGGAGCTCGCGAAGCAAATGGAGAAGCGGAAATGGTGGAATATATGAGAAGGTACCTCATCCTCTCTCTGCTTCAGCTTCATACGCTTTTGTCTTGCTGTTTTCATCATATGAGCATTAGCATTCACTCACACCAAGATCCGGTTTTTTTTTCTTCTAAGTATATAAACATTCTGTTGTCCATTTGTTTGTAATGTGTTGTGTTAGTTATTTTAGAGTAGATTGGTGGAATTTAAAATCTCTCAAAGGATTCTTGTTTCACGTGTATTACAAGTGTGGTGGAGGAGTAAAATGCTTGTAAAAGACGTGTCGTGAATTGGTTAAGTGTTAAGGATTAGTCGGAAGATATTGAAGGTGGCTCGTTTGGCTTGTTTTTTCCGATAAAACAAAACTGGAAAAAATGAGCGACCGCTCAAAAAATGAGCGACCGCTCAAAAAATGAGCGACCGCTCGGAAAATGAGCGGGTAGCTCATTTTCTCTGATGAACAAAACTGGGGAAAATGAGCGACCGCTCGGAAAATGAGCGACCGCTTGAAAAATGAGCGACCGGTCAGGAAAATGAGCGGGTAGCTCATTTTCTCTGATGAACAAAAAATGGAAAATGAGCGACCGCTCGAAAAATGAGCGACCCGCCTGATTTTTCTGAGTTGTTCAAATGAACGAAAAATCGTGTCTGTTCGGAAAAAACTTCCCTATCCTTGCACCTTTTTACTTTTGGAGTGTTAAAAACATTCCTAGACGTCTGAACACAGAGGAGTATGAAATCTAATTGATTTTTGAGAGATTTGTGAGCCTTGTTGGTGAAGAAACTTGCTACTTCTTCACCATCTTTTACTGTTCATCTTCTTTCTCTAGTTTTTCTGTTTCGGGCAACGTTTGAGGAGCAGATCAATCGTTGCTGATCTTCTTTGTATCTCTAAACGTATTCTCGGGTTTCTCCTTTGCTCGGTGGGGAGGGAATAACGTTTTAGGAAAATGTTCTACACGCCTAGAAGATCATATCCGGTTCTTTCGTTTTTATTTCGATTTCATTGTTTTTATTGTTCTTTCTTGCTGTATCCAGACCCACATTTATATAACAATCTAAAACGTTATTTTTTATTTCGGATACACGGGGAAAGGGAAATCGAATGACAGGTATGAGTTCTTCGGTGAGAGATCTAACTCTTGATTTTCACAAACTCGAAAAATTCGAGGGCGTGGCTTTCCGGCGGTGGCAAAAGAAGATAAAATTTCTTCTTACTACGTTGCACGTGGCGTATGTGATCAGCACTCCACGACCGGATCGGAGAATGAAGAAGAGACGCTAGCTCAAGCACGCACGAAGAACAAGTGGGACAACGACAATTATGTGTGTTGCGGACACATATTGAACGGTATATCCGATGCCCTTTTTGATGTGTATCAAAATATAGAGACTGCAAAAGAATTGTGGTCGAAATTGGAAGAGAAATACATGTCGGAAGATGCCTCGAGTAAGAGGTTTCTTGTAAGCGAGTTTAACGCTTACAAGATGGTGGATGCAAGACCGGTTATGGAGCAATTTCATGAGCTCCAGAGGATCTTGAGTAGTTTCACTCAACATGAGTTGAAAATGGATGAAACCATTATGGTTTCTTCTATTGTTGACAAGCTACCACCATCTTGGAAGGACGTTAAGCGTTCCTTGAAGCATAGGAAAGAGGATATGAACCTTGAGCAATTGGGATCGCATCTTCGGATTGAAGAGAACTTTCGAATGCATGACAAGAAAGACACACATGTTTCTTCGTCTACTACGGTTCATGTGGTGGAGGAAGAGAAGAAACGGGGCCAAAAGAGGCCAAACAAATCCCCGAAAGGCCACTCAAACAAAAGGCCTAAGCCGAGTGGGAGTTGTTGGTTCTGCAACAAGCCCGGACACTTTAAAAAGGATTGCTATTCTTACAAGAATAGAAAGAAGGGTCAAGGCCAAGGCAAACACGACCAAGGCCAACCCAACCAAGGTACGATTACTCTTGTTGACACAACCTATTCAAGACCGCAACCTATTCAAGACGTTTGAGGACGTCAAGGATGGAAGCGTGTGCAGGAGAGTGATAACTCTTGGTGGATTGATTCGGGCGCTACGAGACACATATGTAAAGACCGCAACCTATTCAAGACGTTTGAGGACGTCAAGGATGGAAGCGTGCTTTACATGGGCAACGAATCTACGGTTGATGTCTTGGGAAAGGGACAAGTAGATTTGTTGTTTACATCCGGGAAAACTCTTACTCTTCGAGATGTGCTTTATGCACCGGGTGTTAGAAAGAATCTTGTGTCGGGTAGCGTATTGAATCGATTCGGGTTCAAAATGGTGTTTGAGGCTGATAAGTTTGTATTGTCCAAAGGGGGGATTTTTGTTGGACAAGGCTATCTATGTAATTCGATGTTCAAACTCAATATTAATAAACCGAGTACTTCTTTGTATGTTCTCTCTTCCAATGTTTCAGATTTATGGCATGCTAGATTAGGTCACGTTCATTTTAAACGGATGCATGTAATGTCTAAGTTAGATCTTATTCCACCATGTGAATTGGAGAATGATCATCGTTGCGTTACTTGTATGAAAACAAAAATTACGAGGCTGTCATTTCCAAACGTAGAAAGAAGTTCGGACATTCTAGAACTTGTGCATAGTGACTTATGCGATTTTCATAATACACCGTCTCTAGGAAATAAAAAGTACGTAGTTACGTTTATTGAGGATTCGACTAGGTTATGCTACGTTTACTTGTTGCATTCTAAAGACGAAGCTTTGGATAAGTTTAGGATGTATAAGTCCGAGGTTGAAACACAACTCGGGGTTAAGCTCAAGAAGCTTAGAACCGATAGGGGAGGAGAATATTATGATCCGACATTCTTTGAATCCGTAGGCGTGATTCATGAGACGACCGCTCCATATACACCACAACAAAACGGTGTAGCGGAAAGAAAGAATAGGGTGTTGAAAGAAATGGTAAACTCCATGCTTTCTTTCT